AAACGACACATATTAAGAGTTTGTGCCTGCTAAGTATTTCTGCGTCTCAAGCATGTCAGGCCATATCTGATTTATGGGCGTCCTGCGCTCCGTTTTAGGGGTAAAAGTATTCCTAGAAAAGCGTTCAAAATCGAACGATGATTGGTCGAAACAATTCTGTTTCGAAAAAGAAAGTTTGGGAATATTACCTAATGCAGAAAAATACACGTATTCCGACGCACAGTACAGTTTTGAGTGCGGTGGCGTGAATAGTGTGTCAGTTAAAGTAAAGTTAATTAGTTAGTTAGTGCAGTGATATAAGCAGAAGCAGGGTGAGTACATCTCACTAAGTGTCGTAGTTTATTAATTAATTAGATCATGAATATTTTGATAAATATATTGATACGTTTTGTTAGATATCATTTGCGTACACATATTATTAAATATTACATTAAATAACTGCGCCGTATACATGCTAGGTCAAAATATAGAATATGAAAGTTAGATAGGGTTAGTAATTAAATAATGCGGCGGTATACCGATGCGGCAGCTACGTGAGCTTTGTTTAGATAGGCTATTGAATCTCTTTACTCTGTAGAGTCGGTGCTGTCTAGTCAGGAGGAGCGCAAGGATAGGCCCGTTAATGTTGCTTGGCAGGATCTGGGATCCCGTAATGTCATAGTAGCAGGGACGCGATTCCTCGTAATGTCGCAACGGTGTAGGGAGTAAAATCCTGGTTATCACCGGTTTTTATATTGTGCCTCTGGGCGTAACCAGATGCGGGAGCGGGACCCCGAGAGATTCAGCCGCTGTATCCGGGTCTTCTGGTTCGTCTAGACCGTGCCACGGGGGGGCGTGGACGGGGGCAAGACAGTACGTTAGTATTTGATGAGATAAGTAAATTTGTAATCAAGAGAGAGAGAGAGATTGGATAGTTCTTTTATAAAGTACCTAATTAGTTAATATGATAGCCACGTAAGCTTTAGGTGGATTAGTGAATTTCTGTTCTCAGTAGAGTTAGTACTGCTTAGCTTGAGGAAGCGCAAGGATAGGCCCGTTAATGTTGCTTGGCAGGATCTGGGATCCCGTAATGTCATAGTAGCAGGGACGCGAATCCTCGTAATGTCGCAACGTCGCACAGGCAGGGATCTGGGATTCCGTACGCCGTGTGTCAACGGACATTACTATTATGTCTGGGACGGTACCTCCGGGTCTTCAGCGGGGGGAACAGGCCCCCAGGGTCCTCGAATCTCGGTATCGATATGTTGTGTTTATTCTGTTGTCCGTGCGGCTGATTACTCTGGAGTCCGCGCCATCAGGGGGTGCGTGGGCGGAAGGCCAAGTAGTGCATTTGCATAGATATGTTTGTAAATCTTGTATTGAGAGAGACAGAGATAAATTAGTCCATCTAGTAAGATAAATAGAAAATAAATAATAGGTAGTTAGGGCAAAACAATATCGGCATATAGCAGTTAAGTAGGTAGGAATTATGAACTGGACACTTATCCTTACTTTTAATTGTGACAGGTATTAAAGTACGCCTCCGCTCAGGGTCAATGCTTCAGGGATTATTTGGTGAGTCTGTGATTTATTATATATTTGTTTTCCTGACAATATAATACTTTAAAACATTTTAATTATCCTGTCACGAGTTATGGTTTTGTTAGTTGTTTAGATTGTTTATTATTTTATAAAGAAAGTAAACAAAAAAAAATCTTACAGATGTAGATATTGTCCATATGGGAATTAGATTGTCAGATTGTTGGATGTTTTCACTTAACATATACTGTCCCAGGGCTCTGATAAACACCAGTATCTGAGACAGTTTTACAGAGGTTAGTTCTCCATCTCCAATATCAGTCGTATCAAGGCTTTGGCACGAATAGTTGTCGTCTCGGCGCACACAGATCTTCTGGTGCTTCCCCATTGGCCCACAGAATCTGCATTCGCCATCGTGCCTTAGCTTCAATCTACTGAGATATTCATTGAGGAGACAGTGTCCTGTTAGAAACCCCGTGACAATGCGAAGACAGTTTTGCCATATCAACACATATCAGACTTTGCCATATCAAGGAAAATCTTTGATTTTTCTCGGTCGTAAGTCTACTCTCAATGATGCTCCTAACCTGTCCAAATAGTATTTGGTAGAGGAGGGAATTCTAGTTCCTTGGGAGGAACTAGTTCCTTAGTTCTAGTTCCTCCAGAGGAATAGTTCCTTAAACTAGGTCTTTAGTTCACAATAGTTCCCGACTAACACTGACATCCCCCTTGCTTGCTAATGCGTTTCGTTGTCAGTCAGAACTATTCACAGTATGATCTGTATAATTTTTATAATGTACGGAGATATAACGAGACGTGTAATTGTGTATGTTAAAAAAATATAGGTAAGTTTTATTGCAGATAAAAAAAATTAAAAAAAACTCAAATTAGAATTTAAAAAACTATATCACAAATCAATTGGAGCAAATATTACAAAAATTTTACGAACAATTGCATTTTTCCTCACTACAAGCTTTTTGTTTTTGTCCAAAAATTCAGAATATCTACTTCGTTTTATAAGATATTTCTTAATTTTAGGGACCTAAAGTGAAACATTCCCTTAAAATATTTAAAAAACAATCTAAAAATCATAAACAGTATCCACGACAATTTTCTGTGGTAATTAGGCCGCGCCGCGCCGGCTGTGGCAATAAACAACGCCGAATTCATCGTCGTCGCCTTGTATTATATCTCGGATCTGCCGACTGAATAGATTCCCGTGAACTAGTCTTTTAATAGTTCCTCTATATCCGGATCCGATAACATACGGCTGGCACTCCCCACGCCTGCCTAGCATCAATCGCGCTGGCTGATCCATACGTAAACTAGTTTTTTATTTAGTTCCTCTAGTTCCTTTAGGTCCGGATCCGATAACATACGGCATACGGCTGGCACTCCCCACTCCTGCCTAGCATCGACCGCGCTGGCCCGATCCGTTCATACGTAAACTAGTCTTTTATTTAGTTTAGTTCCTCTAGGTCCGGATCCGATAACGTACGGCTGGCACTCCCCACTCCTGCTTCTATCATCGGGCTACGCGCGCTAGCCGATCCGTCGCATATTATTCTATATCGGTCACATTCTCGATCCCGGAATAGGTCCTGAGGAACTAGTTCTTTGAGAAACCAGGAACTAGTTCCTTTCATTCCGGCGTCGGAATAGTTCATTGGAACTAGTTCGTTCACGAACTACACACCTCTAGTATTTGACGTCTTTTTCCGCAAAATAGTTCTTTACGAAAGCGATGTCCACCTCGTTCGACAAAAATTTGTGTTATCTGAGCGTAACTGTCAGTTTAGGGAATAAAAAGAAGTTGCTAGAAGTTCTGGCAAATACGGGTGGTCTAAACAGTTCAAATCGCGAATTTTTGCCATATTATGGCAATCGTATAGAGGTGAGACGGTGTTTTGTCCTTGTAGTATTTTGTTCGACAAGATAACAGAACCTAATTGTACTTGTGTATATTATTATGTATTGTAAAATCAAAGTTCAAAATATTCAAATTTTCGTGAAATCAATCAAGATTGCATTTTATATGTCAGTTTAAATGAACATCAGATTGTTAAGACAGAGTACTTTAAAGAAAGTTTAAAAGTACTAAATATTCAGTTGTTCTTGTTTAATTAAGTGAATTAACATCATTATCTTTCACCAAACTGGGACAACACAATAAGTGTTACTAATAGATATATTCACAAGGGGGCCATAAGTTTTGGAACATTGGAAACAGAACTATCTTGTTCCATTACCCGTACGTAATCTTATTATCCAAAGTGCTAAAACCAAACCGTTACTAACTCATGTAAATGGATCATTGTTAAGACACCCTGTTCATGTAAAATTAACTAAAACGCCGCATTGTCCACATCTACAATAATTAGTATATGATCATGATTTATTTATATTTAGAATTACCATTGCGTCGGAATTAGTATCCCCTATAAAATATGGCTCAAACACGTCTCTTTTTAGTTTTAAATCCACATTACCTCAAAAGATGCGGAGTCAAATGGTATTATAGTACCTGTGACATAAATCAGGATTGATTGACGTACTTATTCAGTTAGAATAGATAGAGAGAATTTTGTTTTACGTGAAATGACTATAATTTTTGATTTTTAATAGTACGCTCGCTATTTTTGCTTTTTGTGGTAGAAAATGACATCCTGAATAGACTGACATATCATAAGTCGACATTTGACATTGTCATTTAAAGAAAATAGTATTTTAAATTTCAATCTAGAGTGACACGGCTGTGTTAAAACCACTAATTTTTAATCAAGGAACCTTGGAAATATATGTCTGATAATCTAATATTTTTCGTGACGGTTCCTGCCCAGTTAAAAGATGCCCCAATCGTATTTTTAATCGTAGGTAACTCATTTTTTTCAAATGGAACAATGGTAGCTCATTAGCATATTTGAACTAAGAATGTTTGAAGAATAATTTGGTACCACATGCTGTGTATTTCGGATCAAATTGTCGTTATGAACACAGTCATTACAACACAGTCTCTAGATTGAAATTTAAAATACCTACTATCTTTATTTAAGTGCAAATGTCAAAAGTTGACATATAATATGTCATTATACTTATACTAAGAATGTTATTTTCTATCAAATAAAGTAAAAAAAATACCGAGGGGTTGTAATCATTTCCGTTAAAACAAAAAGTGAACGAAACCAATTGAATACGTCAATGAATCCTGATTTATGTCATTTACTAACCTACCAAATCTCGTTTTTCTATCTAAAAAAATAAGAAAGTGCTAGGGGTAAGACACTTTTGAAAAACACATCAATATAATTTTACTTTTTGTCATTTTACCTACAAAACGGATTCTTTGTCTGATCGACTAAAGTACAGAACTCTACAGCACGAAATTCGAGAATGGAGAATTCCCAAAATGCACTAAGTGCACTAAACGGTTCCTAAAATCACGCCAAAGCCAATACTTGTAAGAGTTCAAAGTACACACTTACCGCAAATTCGATTTCGTTGTGTAGGGTGCCGTTGGTGGTGATTTTCAGGTCCGGCTCGACGATTTTCTCCACTTTGCCGCCCTCTTCGCCGCCCTCCGCCGACGCCGCCGCCGCGACGCCCTCCTCGCCCTTCTTCGGCGTCGTCGTTATGTCCACCGAACGTTTCGAATGCCGCGCGCCCATTCTCACTGTCTGATATCGAGGTTTCGCTAATGTCTATCTAAACTGAAAGAAAAGGAAACGATATTAATAAACAAACAATGTCCAGACTCTTACTCCAGAAATATGATATATTATGATATACAGGGTGTTTCAAAAAATATGTGCTATCTCTGGTGGGATCATCTTTGTTTCGTAGCTACAGGGCGTTAAGATTTAATAATATTTCGATTTATTATAATTTTCTTTCAAGTACTTTTAGTGTCTCGAATGAAATTTTGAGGGTAAAAGTTATTATAAGTGCTACATATTTTAGTGCATATGGGTTGTTATCACTAGAATATTTTTCAAAAAATAAACATGTGCGACATTAACTTTTTTTCTTATGATATCAAAATTGTGTAGGCCGTTTAATGTCAATTAAAAGGTATCTCTTGCTATTTTGTCGAATTCGGCCTCCTTGATGAGATAAACGCAATTTCAAAAGTTTTAACATCCTGTAAGTCTAAAACTATACATTCCCATACCCATGTTTATGGGAAATTTTTTCATATTTTTTGATGAGGAATCAATGAGTACTTATTTAAATCTTTCGCAAGTTAAATTTTATAAAAGTTGATATTAGACTTGAATCAAGGCAAATTAATAACATCGCGTTTATCTCATCAAGGAGGCCGAAATCGACAAATATCAAGAGACAACTTTTAATCGGCATTACACTATTTCGGTAATAAGAGAAAAAAAGCCAGTGGCGTACATGCTTTTTTCAGAAAAATATTCCAGTGATAACCTCTATGGACGTCCATGGTAAATATGTCTACACTTTTTTAGCTTTAAAATATGTCGCATTTATAGTAACTTTTACCATCAAATTTGATTCGAAATGCTAAAACTACTTAAAAGAAAATTATAATAAATCGAAAACGTATTAAGACTTAAACACCCTGTAGCTACGAAACAAAGCAGAATCGCACCTATGTTGATACGAAAAATAAATCTTATTTTTACCCCACGACAGATGGCACATGTTTTTTGAAACACCCTGTATTATTTTTTTATATTTTATGTTTATGATGTAAAATAGCATAGAAGTTCGACTTATCAGAGGAAAATATTATTTGAGATTTCTCTTACAACAGTTACTCAGGCACATGTTTTCTGAAACACCCTGTATATGTATGCATATGAAAAATATGTTAAACAAAATTTTCTTAGAAAAATTATGATAATTCGTTTCTTAAAAACATTTTACCTATGAAACTTTTATGACTAAAATTGATTACACTTTCTTGGTTCTTGGTATTGTTAACAAAATATGTGCAATAAATGTATGTACTTAGTCCAAACCAAAAACAATTCATAACTCAGTAATATAAGTATAATAAAAATAAATAAATCTGCTAAAAATAAGTTTAATTCCAAAATTCTTGAGTTTTCAAAAAATAAATAATAACGCTTGTGCAAAAATATTAAGGTTACATAAATTCATTTTCACAGAATAAGCAAAATCGGTTCTGTATCAATAAAAAATGTTTGATTAACACTTTCAAAGAATTTAATATTACTAATTGCAGCGTAAGACAAAATCTATTACAAGCGTTTATTTTATCAATGCGATTAAACTGCGTGATTCATTTCAACGATTCCAGAACAAATAAATAGCAATAAAAGTTTGCGCTAAAAGGATTTGTCATCGAAAAACAACAAATAAAATGTTGATAAAACTTGTAAATAGCATAGATTTACCTTAATGTGTATGAAGGTACTTCTTTGTTTTAAAACATTCCAATAAATAAATCTAAAATATGTTCATTTACACCAGCCAACCTACAGCCTAGTAGGTAGTTTTAGGTTCACTCCAAGAGCCAATTTACAATGAGTTTGTTATAGAAATTTGTATAAAATTAGCGTCAATCAAAGTATTTGACGTACTTTAGCACAGAAAATTTAGTTCAATGACATATCGGTCAACCTGAAATTCATCAGGTGTTTTGAATTTTATTGTAGCCTGACAACACCTATAATTGAAATAGTCTAAATAAAAGTATTATATACAGGGTGTCCCAAAAACAAGTGCAAGTATTTTAAGGGATCGTAGACCTGGTCAAAAGAAACATATTTTCTCTTTACCATTTTTAAAATAAATTGAAAATAACCGAGTTATTTAACTTTGAAAATCTAAAAAAATAATGGCAACATTTTGAGAACCGCTGGCGATAACTGGCTATTAAGGACATTTCAGCTTATTCGACGCCCTGTGTTGCCAGATGGTCAGAAATAAATTGCAAAACTTCAGTATCCGAAGGGGCAAATATAATACCAAAGTTGTTTGATCAGACAAAAAGGAAATAGAAAACTTCTACAACATCAAAACAAAGATACTGATAGTAGATTGGGGTAACAACGGTGAATATTTTTTTTTCATTTTTTATCGCAAAACTATACGCTAAACTAAAATACACATACAGTTTACTTTCAATGATTTTTTACTTCAATTACTTGACTGCATGTTATTGACTTGTGTCTGGCCCCAGCAGGCAACTATTAAGCCCGACAAATCACGTTAGAGTTTTTGACAAACACAAATGAATTAACACCGTCCAAATAACCACGCTAACCAACCTGATTGGTCAAGCTTAGTAGTTGCCTGCTGGGGCTAGACACTTCTGTGTTATTGTAATAACTGCCAAAGCAACGGTCTCCATTTCTAACCAATTATTCTCATAAAGTTCAATTATATTATGTGAACCATTTAACTACTGATCTACAAAACACATCGAAAATCGCACACCACTTTGAATTCAGACTGTTTTTTTATTGAAATTACTATGGTGAGATTTATTTTTTCAGTATATGTTAGCTGAAAATAACTGTAAAAATGTTGTATGCGTAAAAATAATTAATGTTTTTCTTTTCTAGAATTATTATTAATAAACACTGATAAGATTAAGATATTAATACTCTTTATGTAGAAATTTAAAAATACAGTGAATACAAATACAATATGTTGAATATGGATAACGCAGGAGGTGGCAACACTGCAATGTTTAGATACGCCGTAAAGAAATTTCAGGTGAATAAACAAGTAGCACTAAAAAGTTTTTTTTTATTTCCCGGAAAATGTCAGAAGAATATAAAATTTTCATAGACGTGTTTCTTGAGTCGAAATATATTACCAGTTAAAATACTTATTTCTAAGACACCCTGTGTAGTAGGGGAGCCCGAGATGCAAAATAAAGATTTACTGAAGTGATGTGGGGACCTCTTGTAATGTAAAGAATTAGATGCTATAAAAAAAAGGATATAATGATGTATGTTCTTTTACTGAAAAAAGTAACAAAGGAACACTTGGACATTTCAGATATTAATAATGCATGCGCCCCACGTGTTAGTGATAACGGAGGGATATTAATCTGCCCATTTCTATCACACAAATGGGTAGAAAAAGAAAAAAAATATTCGAGCGGGTCAGATATTCAAATGATGGATGTTGAACCTTTAAGAAGCTCCTATTAAAAGGACAGTCGATTTGGATGCAGTCAAAACTCAAGGCAGATTTTTTAGAAATACATAGTTCTCAGCAACACACTTTATTGATGATTTTAGCTACTTCGGCTCATGTAAATCGACAGAATATGTTATTCCCGTGATTCTTAAGTGACTTCCTTCAATATTAGAAAAAAAAAAAATAACCGCGCTCAAAAATGTCCAGGTGGCTATTTTTTGGCACTTCGATACTCCCATTTACTTATGCCACCCTTAAACCGTCAGATTATTTAAATAGTCACCCGAGTATTTCTAACGATCATTTTTTTAACTACTCTGAATCTGATCGGCTGCCCTACACGCACGACCCTGTATAAAAGATTCATGTATGGGGGGTACTTAACACGGTGCAAGGTTTCTTTCCTCATGTTATTGGGGAGACTTGGACTCACCTACTATCAAATTTACGGTATAATTGACGACTACAAATACAACAAATTACGTGATAAATAGAATTTAGGACCATGATAATGTTTTCTTTTCCAAAAAACAATTAAAGTTGTTAATTGATTACTAATCCTACTAAAAACATTCAGGGTCCAACCGCAAAACAAATGTTAAATGTGAGTCACGATAAATGAAATAAACAATAAAAGAATAATGTAATTACATGGAGAATTTCAAACAACTTGTCTAGCAACGAGATAAAACAGTAAACGAATGTTTGAACTTGAAACTTCAACAACGATAGAACCTGTTTAAAATAGATAGGAGCACATTCTATGTGAATGCTGTAATAAAACTGAAACTTGTAATATAATTTAAACTCTAGACTGTTAAAAATAATCTACAAGTTAATTGGTGAAAAGAATATAATTATTAAATATAAATAATAAGGAAGTTTTTTATATGATGGGAAATTACATAAATCCCTTATTTTGGATAATATTTTCCAATCTTGGCAATGTCGCTTATCCAGTACCAATTGTTCCGTTACCCCCGATAAAAGAGTAGGCCTGATAGCTTATGCTTGACGTCATCAACCGAAGGCGATGGTTGGAACTCTTTATAGGTACACTCTGAGTATAAACTTTGATTGCAACGAACTTTTATGGTTATAAACAAGAAATTAAAAAAAAAATAGATCGGTATGTATAATTACATAGAGAAAATTATGATAATGTGTATCTTTATACCTAGTACTTGTTATAAGTATTTTTAAGGTACTGATTTTAGTCAATAACGAATGTCTCTGGAACAAAAAGTGTAAATGTCAAAAACGAAGCAGTTTTGTAAAGTAGGTACGCGTCTAGGACTTCAAAATGTTCTAAAGATCAATAGATCAATAGAGAAAAATCAATATTTTATTTTATTTTTCAAAAAAATTCATAGGAGACAAAGAAAGCTTAGTTAAAAATCGGAATACAACTAAAATATTCTTGTCGATAATTAATTTTATGTATAATCCACCAACACAAACCGTTTCATGGTATCTCTAACAGATCTTGACAAATTATTCTTGGTATCGACCCATAGCGGCATTCAAGACAACAAAAAAGCCGATTAACTAGCAAGATAAA